CTGTTGGCAGAGTTCCTCTAGCGTGATAATTTACTTTTCTCTATACTCTCTCGTACCTTTTCTATCTCCATTATTTCATAGTGTCTCTCTCTATTTTTTTTTCCTCCCTTTCTCTATGGCAGAGTGCATATTTATATACACACATTGCAATATTATGGAAATCTTGCCTTAATTGTGAATTAATTGACAATAAAACAAAATAGGGAAATAATTGCCATGGTTGCTAGAAAACAAATTAAATAATATTCAAAACATTGATTATCATTATTGTCAGAAAATCATATTTTCCTCTTTAAAAGCAACTGATGCAACAAATTATATTAATATACTATTTTCGTTATTGCTTATAATTATTAGCAGAATATTAATTCGAATTATTACCATATTAAACTAACATTTCAAAAATATTGTATTTGATATTAAAGTTATTATTTTATCCCTTTTTACCCACCATTAATTATTATTCTCTTATTTTTTTATTATTTTTTAAATATTTACTTACCCGGACGAAATTGGGTGTTGACATATATTATTAACAATTATCATTTTATATTACTTTTACTATTAAGGGCATTTTGATAATTTCCAATTTCAACTAATTTTTTTATATTTGTCACTCACTTCCAAATCCCCTAAAAAACCAACAATCAACTCACTCTTCAATTCATTCCCTCCTTATCCCTTACATTCATCTTGTAGAGTGAACACAACCTTAATTTCGTCACAATAATTACAATATTAAATAAAATAAATTTAATAAAATAAAATATTAGAATAATAAAATTTAAAAGATACTAAAAATATATTAAAAAAAGAAGTTTTGAAAATAAATATTATATTACTTTTATAATACAACATACTTTTCATAATTAAAAAATATACTTTAAATATTTTTATCTTAAATATATTTGAAATTAAAATATATGAATAAAAGGTGTAAAAAAAAATTATTTAACATTAATAAAAAATAAATCCACTCTTTTGATTGATCTTTCCACTTATTCTTTCTATTTTTTTCTTTTCCAAAAAATTTCCTCTCCTTTACCTTCTCATTATATTCTCTCGTGTTGTAAGATTCGAGAAAATGGAGGACTTATGAATAATATTGTAATAAGACTTGAGTAATTTTTAATTGAAGTTGTGTTATCATAAGAAGTTTTATAGCTTAGTTGGTGAGAGTTCTTTGATGGGCTAAGTGGTCATGTGTTCAGGTTGTGAATAGAACATAAAATTTTATGTTATTTATTTATTTTATTTTTATAAATGCAATACATGTTATTGTATGATGGTTAAATTTGTGATGTGTGATATTCTCAGTGTGATGTTTTAGCTTGTTGGTAGAGATGTTGTCTAAAGATTGAATGGTTCTTGATTTAAATCTTGGGGAAAGAGGTTTTAATGGAAACATTTGTTTTGGTTTATTTATATTTTTCTTTAAGGACAAGAATGTTTTTTCCTTATTTGTAATTGAGGTGCACAAGTTATAAGTAGGGTAGGAAGTAAAGACATACACTTTAAATAATATAAGTTTAAAAATAGAAGATTAAACGTGGAATCTAGCAGTTACATTTAAAAAAAATAAACAGTTGCGATATTATAGGAAGCGTTATCTAGGTGGTTTCTTTTAGTTAAAAATAGATTTTATTTTTTAGAAAGGACTTTAGTGAACTAGAAATAAAAAGGGAGAAAGGGTAAAAGGAGAAACACGTAAAAATTGAGAGGAAAAGAAAGAGAGCACTATGAGAAAAAAATGTTGGAATTTAAAGAGGAGAAAGGAATTTCTAAATAGATAATAGAAGCATGAGAGACTATGGGTTGATTGATCTTGTGTAGATAAAGTCCTATAATTGGCTAAGGTATGAGAAGTTAATCTTATGTGTTTATTTATTTATTTAATTGATAGTATAATTTTGAAGCTTTGATTGGTTCATTGGAGTGTTTGTGATTATTGGTGAAGTGTAAGATTAATAGTAGTCTTTGTACCATGTAGATTTTGTTCTAAGACCAATAAATGTTGAATTTTGTCATTGGAGCAGGGGATATTGCAAATGCTCCAAATGCATGATAGAGACATGAAAGTCAGGAAAAGACTTATGCTCCAATAACAAGAATCAACATTTATTGGTCCTAAAGCAAAATCCCCATGGTAACTACTATTAATCTCACAATTCACCCAATCAATCACAAACACTCCAATGAGCCAATCAAAGCATTCAAAATTATACTATCAATTAAATAAATAAATATACACATAAGATTAGCTTCCTATACCTTGGTTAATTCTAGGACTTATACACACAAGATCAATCAACCCACATTCTCTCATGCTTCTGTTATCTATCTAGGAATTCCTTTATCCTCTTTAAAATTCTAGCCTCTTTACCTCACAATGCTATCTTTCTTTTCCTCTCAATTTTTACGTGTTTCTCCTTTTACTCTCTCCATTTTTATTTCTAGTTCACTAAATTATCTTCTAAAAAGTAAAATCTCTTTTTAACTAAAAGAAAAAACCACTTAGATAATGCTTCCTATAATATCTCAACTGGATTTTTAAAAATATAACTACTAGATTCCACTTTTAATCTTCTATTTTTTAGCTTATATTATTTAAAGTGTATGTCTTTACTTCCTACCCCTATTTATAATTTCTGCACCTTAATTACAAAAAGAGAAAAGACAAGTGGTTATTAATACCTTTAAAATGCTGGAAGATGTTTAAAATGCTTATATCTGAAAAACTGCAAGTAAAGTGTTTAAGATGCTGGTGACACCTTTAAAATTCAGAGTATTACTAATACCTCAAATCTCAAAAACCCTAATGTGGTGATTCCTTTAAAATTCAAACCCCTAATATGTTGATACCTTTAAAATTCAAAGTGTTTGAGTTTGAAAACTATAGAGAAAATACTTGTCCTAAGAGCTATTTGACCATGTGTTATAGGAAAATGGTTGTTCATGCTTATGATGACAAAACGTTGATTTACTTCTTTAGTATATGCATCTTGAACCAGCTCATGTTCATTTCTTTAATGACCTAGAGGGTGATTTCTTGAAATAATATAAGTATAATATTGATATGGCCCTGGATAGGTTGAAATTGCAATGTATGGCAAATAAAAAGGTTGAGACTTTTAGGGAATATTCTCAACAATGGAGGGAGGTTGTTGCACAAGTAAAACATCTTCTACATAATAAGGAGATGATGGTTATGTTAATAAAAACTCCTCTATCTATTTTTATGATCAATAATGTTTCTTCAAATTTTGCAGATGTTGTCATAATTGAAGAAAGAATAGAGGTTAGTTTGAAAAGTGCTAGGATTATAGTTGACTCACCCACGATTTCAATTGCATCTAAGGTAAAAGCTTGAAAGGTAGAAAGAGTTCCCCTCTTTGTTCCCAGCAACAAGAGTTTTATTAGTATTCTTCAAAGTTTTGAGGGCTTCAAATATCTTATTAATTTGGTCCTTCAACTAGTTGATATCAACTTCTGTTGCTTTTTGAGATTTTTTCCAATCTTCCAATATTTTTACAATTAACATGAGTCTTGAAAGGATGTTGCAGTGGTTTTGTCGTTGGTCTTTGTTCATGCTCTCTACTTTTATTTTTTATTAGCATTTATTTGAAAGTGGAAAGAAAAAAATTTAGACAATTAAATGAAAAGAAAATTTGTGGGAAATTTTGGAACAAAACGAGTATCATTGTATTATTTGATTGTATCAAGAAAGGAAATTAAAATTGTGTTGAACCATGTGAAGCAAATTTTATTCATTTGTAATATTTTAATACACCAAACATAATATTTCATTGATAAAATAAATACATATGCCTCTTCTCAATAATTCCTAGAACTAGCTATCAAATGCTTCATTTCTCCCACCATCACTTGTAGTGATTGATAAAGGTCTTATCATGTTCGGTGGATTAAAGACTTGTGCCATCGAATTAACATTAGACAACATCCTAGTCCCATCATCATCCTAGTGGAGGACGTTGTGGTGCAAGTTGTTAAATTAAAATTCCCGGTGTATTTTGTGGTAATGGAGATGGGGAAGATTTGAAGATTCCTATCATTTTTGGAAGGCCATTCATGAAGACAACCAAGATTTTCATCAATGTAGATGATGGAGTTTTAATACTTAAAGACCAAGATAAAGAGGTGATTTTCAATGTCTTTGATGATGAGCACTTGATTCAAGAGAAGAAGGCTAGTCTAAAAGATACAGAAGTGTCAAAGACTAGTGTATCTAAACAAGTTGCTAGCTCAGTCAAGAAAGGTAAAAATCTTTTCTTGTCACAGGTAAAGGAAGAAGAGAAAGAGATTCAAGATAAGATAATTCACCAAGACTTGAAGATTGAAGATGAATAATTCAAACCTGGCAAACCAATCAAATACAATAACATGTTATGGGTGATAAACAAATTTTTAATCCCCGAAAATGGAGACAAATACTTGTTAAGACCTCGGCAAGTGTACCGAATCGTATCAAGTAATAATAAATGGTAAGACCAGGTAGCGTTTTCCAAGAGACTCACGACACTAAACAATTATGTGATTACTCAACTAATTAAGACTCTAAATAACAAATTTTGGGGTTTTTGAATGCAAATGCAATAAAATAAACATGAATGCAATTTGATATATTGAGGCTAAACACAAGAATAAATGGATGAAGTTGATGATATTGTTGTTGGGTTTAGATTTCACCTAATTTACTCTCATGTATATATGAATTCATCTTCTTCATTAATGTTAATGTCACTTTCTAATTTACCTTAAACCCGATGTCTCGGTGAAGAAAGCCTACTCCTAATTACTAGTTCACAATGTCTTGTCTTCCTAGCAATTAATCATGCATTACATTCGCACAAAAGCTTAAAGGCAACCAATCCTCCTATTCCTATGTCTAGGTAATATTGCTTCTGGGAGAATTTCCCCAGTTCTAGATTTTCCCGTTTGTGTCCATATCGACAAAATCAAAGATCATGCAATTGAATGGGTTAAACAAAGCATGCAACAAAGAGGAAAACCCCTAACATTACTCCCCTCCCCTCCAACAACCTTGACCCCAAGGTTGAATTCATGATACTGCTCCTGTATGGTTGCCACGTCTTCCAGGTGGCGCCCTCTTGACCCCCTTCTTGCCACTCTATCAACACCTGAGGTATTTTCTCTGATGCCAGCTGCCTTGTTCTTCTGTCTAAAATCCTTACCGGCCAAAACAAGGGTTCGTTTGCTTGTAACTCAGCCGGAAGTGCCTTCTCCACCCTCTTCTCACCCACAGCCTTCTTTAGTTGTGACAGGTGAAATATTGGATGAATTCTTGCTGCCTCGGGTAATTGTAAATGAAAGGCTACTTTCCCCACCTGCGGTAATACCTCGAAAGGTCCATAATACCTTGCAGACAGCTTCGGGTGCAACCTAAGAGGCATGGACGACTGCCTATGGGGTCTAACCTTTAAATAGACCTAATCCCCCACCTGAATAACTGCTTCTTTCCTTCTTCTATTAGCTTGAGTGATCATTGCCTCCTGAGCTTGCCGTAAATGAACCTTCAATTATTTTAAAGCCTCATCCCTTGTTAACAAATCTTGTGCCACTGATTCTACCGATGTCTCACCTGGAATAAAACGACTCAAAGTTGGTGGAGTGCGTCGGTATACTATTTCAAAAGGGGAGCACCTTGTTGTACTTTTATAACTAGTGTTATACCAGTATTAAGCCCATGAAAGCATGTCTTCCAACTCTTCGGTTGTTCTGAGCAAAAACACCTCAAATACCCCTCCAAAATTCTGTTCACCACCTTAGTTTGGCCATCTGTTTCAGGATGGTATGTCGTGCTCATGTTGAGCTGGGTACCTTGCATCTTGAAAATCTCTTTCCAGAAAACGCTCAAAAAGAGAGGGTCTCTATCACTGACTATGGACGTAGGAATCCCATGCAATTTAACTATGTCTTGTATGAAAACCTCTGCCATTGTGCTTGCGGAATAAGTTGTTTCAGTGTTATGAAGTGACTGTATTTACTCAACCGGTCAACTATTACCAAGATTGTGTCAAACTCTTGGGATTTAGGTAGCTTCACAATAAAATCAAGACTTATCTCTTCCCAAATGGCCTGTGGAATAGGTAGTGGTTGCAAAAGACCATGGGGAGAAGCAGCTAAATATTTATGCTGCTGAAAAATCACACAGGCAGCCACAAACTCTGTTATTGTTTTCTTCATGCCTGGCCAATATAGTGATTGGGCTACCTTTCTGTAAGTACGAAACACTCTGGAATGACCGCCATTGCTAGTCACGTGAAACTCCGCTAAGAGCTTGGGAATCCAACTCGACTTAGCTAATAAAACCAGTATTCCTTTGTAGTGAAGGCGGTCATTCTCCAACGTATAGGGTTCATGGCTATTTGGGTCCCCTCTGACATCCTCTATTATTTTTCGAAGCGTGTCATCCTCCTCCACTTCTTTCAAAACCTCCTGAAAATTGTGCCAGTAGGGCCTAGAAATAGCTCGCAGTTCAGTCTCCTCCATACCACCTTCTCCTTTCCGAGATAATGCGTCTGCAACCTTGTTCGAACTGCCTAGCTTATAAACAATTTCAAAATCGTAACCCATCAACTTTGTTATCCAGTTCTGCTGGTTGTGCGTTGTTATCCGCTATTCCAGCAAGTATTTGAGGCTGCGCTGGTCGGTGTGAACCATAAGCCTCCTCCCTAATAGATAGGGTCGCCAATGTTGGATGGCCAACACCACCGCCATCAACTCTTTCTCGTATATAGACTTACTTCGACATCCCTCCGACAACGTCTTGCTAAAGAAAGCAATGGGCTTCTTATTTTGCATCAACACAGGCCCCACTCCACACCCCGAAGCATCACACTCCACGTGAAATCGGGCAACGCCAGGACCGGTGCAGATGTCATCACAGCCTTCAGAGTATCCATGGTTGTCTTGGCTCGCTTGGACCATTCAAACTTTCCCTTTTTTAACAATTCCGTGAGGGATTTTGCTAATTCCCCATATCTCTGCACGAATCTCCTATAGTACCCCGTTAACCCCAAAAATCCCCTCAACGCTTTCAAATTTCTGGGTTCTTCCCACTCCAACACGACTTTAATTTTATCTTAGTCCATCTCCACTCCTTTCTCCGATATCTGGTGTCCCAAGTATTGAATTTTCCATTTCCCAAACTCGCATTTTTTCCTATTGGCCACCCAACTGTTCTGTTCCAGCAACTGCAACACCAGCTTTAAATGTTGAAGATGCTCTTCCCATGAAGGGTTGTACACCAATATGTCGTCAAAAAAAAGAGCACCCATTTCCTCAAGTAAGGTACCATTAATCTGTTCATGGCGCTCTGGAATGTTGCGGGTGCATTCGTTAATCCAAATGGCATCACCAAAAACTCGAACAAGCCCTGATGCGTTCTGAAAGCAGTCTTGTGGACATCTTCTTCCCCCATGCTTATCTGATGATATCCCGCTTTCAAATCCATCTTAGAGAAGAACCTTGCCCCCCTGAGCTCATCCAAAAGTTCCTCAATAACCGGATTTGGAAATTTATTTGGGACTGTAGCCTTATTCAAGGCCCTGTAATCCACGCAAAATCTCCAGCTTTCGTCCTTCTTCTTTACCAAACTCACTGGGCTGGAGAAAGGACTTTGGCTTGGCCTTATGATCCCCGCACGTAGCATATCCGAGACTTGTTTCTCAATTTCCTCTTTCATGGGGTAAGGATACCTCTAGGGTCTAACATTTATAGGATTTATTCCCTCTTGGATCACTATGCGGTGTTGGGCATCACATGAAGGGGGTAACTCTTCTCTCTCCAGAAACACCCGAAAGTGGGCATGCAGAACAACTTTGATCTCCACCTGCTGCTTTTCGGTCAATTCACCCAACACATCACCGCCTGTCCCCTGCTCCACTACGCACAATTCCCAAACCAGAAACCATGACTCAGCATCCATTATCTTGACAAGTGTGTCTGGGTCTACCAGTGGTCTTGACAGCGCTGGATCTCCTTTGATCATCCTCTTCTCACCTGCCACTACGTACTGCATGTACATATCTTTCCAATTAATAACCACCTCCTCCAATTTCACGAACCAAACAATGCCCAATATCCCTCGCTACTCTTATCGCGATAATCAAATCGGGAAGGTCTTGGATTCGTACTTGGCCTTTGATCTCTTCTCGTAACCCCGCTAGGAAGAATCCCAATATCAGCTCCTCCGATAGCCCCTAGGTTTGACCCAAAAGTGTCTCAAAGCTCCTTACATAATCCTCCACTGTCCCATCTTGCCTCAACGTTGCCATCTGTTCCTAAACGGTGCCCCTGAACCCTCCTCCGAAGCGATTAATCAGCCCCACTTTCAATCCCAACCACAAACGATTCTTAGTTTTTTCCCTCCAATATTTGAACCAGTAACTCGCGCTCCCTTCCATGCTAATGTAGGCGAGTTCAACCTTATCCTCCTCAGCCACCCTCTGGATGTCAAAGAACCTTTCCGCTCTGTTAATCCAACTATGCGGCTCTACCCCTTCAAACGATGGCAACTCCACCCTTTTCCGCCAGTTCTGTGGTATTCCTCCATATTCGTGTCTTTCGGGGTTATCATTCATTTAGTTGCTACTCCCTTCCGTGCCACCTCTCTGATTATTCTGACCTCCTCCTATCATCCTCATCATTTGTTGTAGGTCTCGCTTGATCGTAGCCGTCTCCTCCTTAATTCCTTCCACCGTAATCTCAAGATTATCTAATCTTCCCTCTATTTGGATATTCATCGCTGATCCTGCCGCCTTCTTGATTCGACAGGTCGGACCAAATGATAGGTTCTTTTAATCAAGAACCTATGAATAGCACTAGAAACACAACACATTAGAGGTCCTCTGAATTATACAACCTCCTTTTATTGCAAACCACTAACAGACTAACATAAACCCAACCCCCTCCTACCTAACTGCCTTGGCAGTTAGGCTATGTGGCTTTTCTCCTCCTCTTATATAGGATTAGTTCCCTAACAGATATTGTGCTCATAGTAAGAGATGGAGGTTGCATGCAAACTAGTATGGTTCCACCTCCTAAATACATTTCACCTTGTTCTTAATGAAAAGGATATAAATCTCAAATCACCGTATGAATTTATTGAATGAGCGTGGATTGCAGACCAGAGAAACATATATATCGTGATGTTTAACTTTAAGCTCATTTAAAGTAAAGTCAAACTTTGTAGAAATGTTTCTGTCAATGATGTTTTTTCTCTTTTCCATTTGCTAGCATGTCTTGTGAACAATAATTGGGAAACATTGTTAACCCAATTAATGGTTTGTTCTTTATTTTCAATTTATCTACTTAGTATCACATCATATATAAAACCTTACAAAACCATCGCAATCAAGTGAAGTCCACTCTAATTACCAGATTGTGATTTTGTACTCTATTGGAATAATACATACCCAGTCCAGTGCATTTAATGATCCTTTCTTTAACTTAGAGGTATTGATTTATTGACATCTTTTGATGACATGTGAGATGCTTTATGTAGACATGTTGCAAACTGTTGAATTATTGGTCCAACAAGAGAAAAATACATTCTTATCATGATGGAGCAAATGATCTTACACAAATGACAGAATTGCATGCTAAAATAACGGATGTTCTAAAAGACATACAAATTCAGAATGCAGAAGCTAACAATTTTTACCACGAACTTAAATTTACAACCTTGTCAAGTTGATTATTCTAAGCAGAATCAACATAGCATACTTTGGCAGTGGCACAAAACTTCTATGAACACTTCCTTTCCCATTAATTTAATGCAGCACGGCGATGAATCAATTCATTCACAAATTCTGCAGTATTTTTATCGGAACTTCCTCCCTCATCAACACTACTCTTGGCCAGATTCTTCCACTTGATGGAATTTTTCTTTATTTCATTTCCTTTTTCAGTCTCCAATATTTCTTTTATGCAATGTGTGATAGTTTCTTTTCTAACTATATCTTTCTCATCAGCAACAGCTTTGACTCCAATTTTCCACACATCTTTAATAAGTTTTGCATTTGTGATCTGGTCAGTCCACAGTGGCATTGCAATCACTGGAACTCCTAAGCTCAAAGCTTCCAATGTGGAGTTCCAACCACAGTGTGTGATAAAACACCCCAAAGCCTCATGTGTCAAGACTTGCAATTGGGGACACCAATTGACTATTAAACCTTTCTCTGATGTGTCAAGAAACCCCTTTGGAAGCTGTCCTTGCTCAGAGTCTCTAATCACCCATAGGAAATAACTTCCACTATCTCTTAAACCACAAGCTAGTTCCTCAGCTTGCTCCACATTCGGCCCTGCGAAGCTCCCAAAAGAAACATACACAACTGACCCCTTTGGTTTATCATCAAGCCATTTCATGCAAGCTTCTGACTTTGGAACATACATTTCAATACCATAGTTCTCGTCATCTTGGAGTCTTTTGTCCAAGTACATAGATGGCAAGGTTGGTCCTATTGTCTTTAATGGCCAAATCTTGCACAGCCAATCCACAACCTATAATGAATTTCATTTCAAAATCTAATCATCAATAACCAACTCAAAAACTAGGATAAAATGCGTTTTAGATCTCTCAATTTTGATCAAAATTAGCCTTCATATGTTTCCAAATGTAAATATTTTGGCCCTCATCATTTGGTAGAGTTTGTCTCTCTTTCCAAAACATAAAGATCTTAAGAAGAGAAACAAAATCTACCAAATATAAAGAACATAGAGACCAAAATCATTGTTTTGAAAGTAGAGTCTAGAACCAACTTTGATAAAAACCTTAAAGAAACTTAAATAACATTTACCCAAATAACTACTACTGTCTATAAGTCATTTCATCAAACAAGAACAGATCAAGATAAATGAACAGAATTTTCAGCTAGTGAACTCACTTACCTCTCGCTCCATATCATAAAATGTGTTTGCAAGAACCCAATCTGCTTTGTCAATATTGGAAAGTTGGTTCACAACAACATAAAAATAACCTGGATAGGTTCCATATCTGTTCAAGAATGATGGCAAGTCCTCAGCTTCAAGTTTTGGCAACCCTGGCAACAAATACTCTGTCTGTGTAAGAGGCAGTTTCAGCAACTTGTTATAAGTATGCAAGTATATGGTGTTTGTTGTGCAACTCTGAGTGAAGAAAGCAGCAGCAAGTAGCCCAAATTTCTTTGCAACATCAAGAGCCCAAGGCATGAAACCATCATAGATTACACAATCTGGAGGGTGGCTTGATCCTGCAAGCTTCTGAAGAAGCTCAGCGAGAGTTTGTGCTCCAACCCTGCAGAAGGTTTCAAGATAAACCTCAAGGCTCTCTGCTGCTGCAAGGCCTCCTTCATCGTAGCCATCTGATATGCTC